GATTAGAGAGCAGCTCCATTGATTCTCCAACTCTAAAGAGCACTTAGTTTACGTTTTGTCCAGCGGTTGTGTTTGTTACTCTTGGAACTTGGCTCCTAGCCGGCTAGAGCATCACTCGTGGAGCTTGCCAACTTGTGTGGCAGCCCCGGGAGGTCTGTAACCATCTTTTGAAGTTAGTAAACTTACCCCTCATCTTAAGAGTTAATTCTCTTGATTTGAGAACGAGGAAGGCTTGGAAAGCCCTAAGCCTTAGTGGCTAACCTCAACAACGTGGAGGTAGGCAAGCCTTGGTGGCGAGCTGAACCACGGGATAAATCATTATGTAACTTGTGCTTGATTTGCATTACTTGCATGACATATTATGGTTGAGGTGATTTCTAGGGTTTCTAGTCAATCTACTTGTGTGTCGTATTTCTACCACTTCTAGCTCTTGATCTGTAGTTGTCATACCTGCAGTAAGCTAGGAAATTTCTCCGATCTAAATTTTCATTCATGGATTTTGAACTGTGGTTCGAAGTTGTGTGCAGGTGCGGCAGTGCCGCTGTTCTAGCCCGACAGTGCCATAGTCCGGCAGTGCCGCCCTCCAGAATGGCAGTGCCGCAGGGTGAATTTGATAAAAGTTTGAGTGTTTGTTTTGACTGGCCTATTCACCCTCCCTCTAGGCCAACCAAAGATCCTACACACTAGATAACCGATATGCAAACAAGTTTGCCCCTCTTGATAGTATAGCCATCTATCCTAAATCCGGTCATGTACTTCTCTACACAACATTTGACCGGTGAAATGAAATGCCTAAGGTTATACCTTTGCCTTGTGCATTCCATTCCATCTCATCGGATGTTGATGCAATGCATGCACCAACCAATCACAAATGATATGATCCACTTCATATCATCATGTGACCTTGCCGGTTCATTGATCTTGACCTCACTTGCTCTTCACCGTTGCCTCGGTCTATCGGCGCCAAGTCCACGACTTGCCCTTCACTCTTGCAACCGGTCCGTTAAGCCAAGTCTTGTCTTGATCTTCTCCACCTTAGTCACATGACTCCATATCATGTCTCGTATGCAATAAGCTCCATCATCACATGTGTGAGCTATGCAACATATTCAAGCCATTTTACCTCTATGGCATGAGTTGCTCACATAAGTGTTCTTGTGGACTAGTCTCCTGTGTAAATCACTTAACCACACATTAGTCCACCTAGGTTGTCACTCAATAACCAAAATCAAACAAGAACCTTTCACATGGCCAAACTTGACACCTACCCTTAGGTCCACATGTCATCCAAGTATAAACGGTACTTCCTTCATCCCAAATTATAGGACGTTTGACTTTTTTGACACCAAGTTTGACCACTCGTCTTGTTAAAAAATTTGTGCAAACTATCATTTCTTTTGTCGTGGCTTGCTTTATTAATAAAAGTTCTTCAAGAAATTTGACTATGTTTGTACAAATTTTTTGAATAAGACGAGTGGTCAAACTTAGAGTCAAAAAAGTCAAATATCTTATAATTTAGGATGGAGGAAGTACCACCATTCACTACCGCTGCCCACATCAGGCCCTTATCCTTGACCATGGTCAACAGCGAGTGGGAGAGGAGACATCAGCCAAGTAGTGCCAAAATCTAGAGAGAGGTGGAGATGGAGAAATAGAGAGAGAATAGGGGGAAGGGAGATGAGAAACAAGGTATCGATAACATGTCCATCCCATTGGTCAGTGTCCACGTCAGCGCATCACATAGGCTGCTAGATGCTAACAACGGTAACTTGGATCCACCATAGACCGTTGGACAAGTTTAGTGATCCAAAAGTATGTTTTCAGAGTTACCTAGATGGCATACCATGATAAGTCTTTGGAGTGCGAATATATATTTAACTCAAACTAATTTGTAAGGTTCCGAGTAATATATTTCTAAATTTATTTATAAACTCTTTTTCTTTGCAACAGTTGTGTACAAAACGTTTCTTTAAACTCTTCTATGTTTTGTCTTTGAAGTTTGGGAATTCAAGGGAGATGCGGAGCTACTGTAAAGTAGTAGGGCAGTTGAGGAAGAGAAATTTGGTAAATTAGCAAATGAAAAAAAAAGAATAATTAATTTTGATTATTAGGCCCTATGTTTATTTATGACCTTCTAAAACTTATACCTCTTAAAATTAGCTCGGGTTAAGAGCATCTCCAAGAGTTCTCAAAAATTTTCTCCTAAAAACTCCACGTTTTCAAACTCCTAAAAATGTATTAGGATAAAAAAAGAAAGCCATCTCTAATAGTACCTAATATTTCACTTTAAAAGATTAAAATTTGGTCCGCTTTTTTTTTGCAGTCTTTTTTTTCCGTGCGAAAGTCTTTGTGCTCGCGCATACCCACGCCGCTGCCGCCGCCTTCTTCCTTTGTCATGCCCTAGTCCTGCTGTTCCAGCCGGTGGCAGGCAGGCACCCGGCCACCCCAGCTCTCGCTCCAGCACCTCCCAGCCGGCCATCTAGTAGTAGCAGTAGCAGCTAGCCATCAGCAGCAGCCGGCCATGTAGTAGTAGTAGTAGCAGCATTCAGCAACAGTAGCATGCAAGCAAAGCCGGCCGGTAGCAGCAGCAGCCGCCCAGCAGCACTTCAGATTCTCCTCGACAGACCACAGCCGCGCCAGTATCGCGATGGTGACCACCAAATAACGCATCTGTACCAACAGCAATGGCAGCCGCCGAGAAGTCCTGGCCCCTCAGCAAGGTCACCGACGGCGCCCACTGGGACGCCGAGGACATCTTCGGGCACCTGTGCATCGTGGCCGACGCCGCTTTCCTCTGCGCTGGCTTCTTGCCGTGCGACCCGCGGCCAGAAACGACGCCCTGGTCTGTACGACGCTTTCCTCTCGGGCGGCATGGACGACGCGGCGGCAACAAAAAACCATCGGCCATGGCAAGAAGCAAAGATCGATGGATTACGTACCTCCTCCAGTCGTCCCAAGGTCAGCGGTGGCGACGACAGCCTCCCATGGACGGCGCGCTTTGGCGCGAAGAAGATGAGTCGTGCTAGAAACTACCGCGCCAAGGAGGAGAAAGCGCGGGGAAGAAGGATACGCGCGACGGAGAGTGCGCGTAACTTTACGCAGATGTGAGGTTTTTTCTCCAAGTACTCAAAGTTTAGGAGGATATATTAGGAGCTGTTGGAGATGGGGTTTTTTCTCATCTTACTAAAAACAAGGATGAGGAAGGGGAATAGGGAACTCTTGGAGATGCTCACCAATGTATCCAAAATTTGCTAGTCAGACGATCAAGGATGCCATTATATACGCCTAATAATCGACGATAGGCTCTGCTGATGGACCTATGAATGGCAGTGAGAACTGAAGCTGAAAACATTCAGAAACGCACAACCAGAACCTGTCCTATGGGCTCCTGAACACGCAGAGATGTCGTGAGGTCCGACCTGAACCAGTTCACACACAACAGATGATACATAGGGTGGTTGCATTTGCACACACAAGAACAAAGCAAATACTTCTACCCAAAGGTATCGTTAGGTGACCGACCTTTCTTAACCACTGCAAAACAACTTTTGACTGACTGACGACGAGCAAGAGAAGGGACAGGACAACCGAGAACCGACCAGCAGAAAACAAGCAAGGAATGCAGCAAAAGGAGTCCATGCATTATTGGCCCCTCTGTCAGCTTGCAACTCTACATCCATTTCGCGTGCAGCTTCCCGAATTGCCGGTGTCTGCCAATAATGTTTTCTTTTCTTTTAAAAGAACTGCATACATATACATACATGCATTTTTTTGTGTTAGGAGCAGGGCTGGTAAAGAAAGCTAATCATCATTAGCTTTATGGAACATCCAAAGCTCACCAATGATATGCGAGTTCGTTTCAACTTTGGCCTCTTAAAGTCGAGTATACTCTGTTATGCATGTGAGTCGCTCACCCTTTTTTTTCGATCTTTAAAAAGTTGAGGACAAGTGTCCTTCCGGAAAAGAAAACGGCACCGTGTGTTTTAGCTCTCGGGCACGCACGATTTTTTTTCTACGGAACCGCCCGTCCGCTGGCGCACGCGCCGGCGCTTCGCGCCCCGCTGTGCTTGTGATCTGTGATTTGTGCCAGGAAGGAAGATGAACGCTAACTGCCGCCGCCGCACACGGTGCTCGCGGTGCTAATGTCTAGTCTGTCGATTTCAGTCATCGGAAACCAACTCCGGCGAGCTTCTTCTTCTCCAACTCCGGCACCACCCCAAATTTTGTCTATGTCTCTTTATAGGAAAAAAATTGTTACCTGTGATCTGTGACTTGTGATCTGTGATTTGTGCCAGGAAGGAAGATGAACACTAACTGGAGACAGGAGGAAGATGAACAGTAACCGCGTGGAAAAAAATTAGGTGTAACCGGGTGTAAAACACACGGTTCTTAGGTAGGTAGACTCGAAAAAAAAGAACGGTAAAATTCAAAGCAACTAATGTCTAGAAGCAACTCTGTCGATTTCAGTCCAGGAGGAAGATCCAGTGTTGTTTGCCAATCACACCAACCAGTTCTATTCTAGCCGTCTGTGTTGGAAGATGGTCGTTGGCAGTGACACGCGTATCGTGTACTATGCCGTTGCTTGTGCCTTGCAACACGGCTGTGCAGAAATCAACGGCGCCTGGTCTGATGATTTCAAGTCTGAATTGGTGATGAAAATTCAGAGTTTCAGACAGCAGAAGACAAGGCTGAATACATTTCTGAATTCTGGAATTCTTAAGTACTGGCTGCTGCGTAGCATAACAACTCCTGCAACGAAACCATTTTCCTTTGCAGGCGTTGGAAAGTGCAGCTCACCTGCTTAACCACCCTGCCTGTCCTCTTTTTTCTAGTTTCTCCAATCCATTCCACACACACCCCTCAAGAAAACCACCTATAAAACCACTAGCAATCCGCAGGTCCACTCAGATCACACCACAAACACCAAGCGGGAGCCAGAGAGGCAGGCAGCAAGGCAAGAAGAGGGAGGAGAGGAAACCACGCGACCAAGAAAAGAAACGATGGCGGCGAGAGCGGTGGCAACCGTGGCGGCGTCGGCGGTGGTGCTGGCGGTCCTGCTGGCCGGCGGCGCGTCGGCGCAGTCGTCGCCGTCGCCGTCGAGCCAGTGCACGACGGTGCTGGTGAGCCTGTCGCCGTGCCTGAACTACATCTCCGGGAACGAGTCGACGGCGCCGGCGACGTGCTGCGCGCAGCTGGGGAAGGTGGTGCAGTCGGACCCGCAGTGCCTGTGCGCGGCGCTGAGCGCGGACCCGGCGTCGCTGGGGCTCACTGTCAACCGCACCCGCGCGCTGGGCCTCCCCGACGCCTGCAAGGTTAAGACGCCCGACGTCAGCAACTGCAAGGGCGGCGCCGCCGCCGGAGCGCCGGTCACCTCGCCCGGGACGACGACGCCCGCAGGACAGACGACCCCCGCCACCGGCGCCACTGGGTCCAAGACGACGCCCACGACGACGTCTGTGCCAGAAGCCGCCGCTGCGTCGCCGCGGGGCTCGGCGGGCGTGGTCGCTGGTTTCATCGTCGCGGCCCTCGCCGTCGCCGGCTTCGCCGTGTGATCCGGTGCTAGCTTCGGTACTGTTGGTGTGTGTAGGAATTGCAGCGGATTTTGTGTTGTTTCATTGGTGGCTCGGCTCGATCGATCAGCCTCAATAAAGACATGCCTATCTCGATTTGTTTGTTTATCATGTAAATACCCATGCGTTGCAACGAGAATACATAATACCACGATAACTGTTATCTAAAATACATACCGCAATCATAATATTACAATCAATATTACATAAGTCTTCACGAAAGATAGATAGTTAAAATATAACTCTAAATTTAATGCAAAACAAAAACATCAATTTCAATTGTCGAATCACTTCATGCCTATGATACGCGAAAGATAAGCTTGCACTTCTTTAGAAATCAAGTGCTACGGAAATATAATCATAACAAGTTTATATTTCATAATACATTTTTTAGAATCTATTCTACAATTAAGAATCTAATCTCTCATAGTTCGACTAAGAGAACGTGCTTTACACGAATACCAACAAGCTGCAGTTGGTCATCAATCAATGATGATCCATAAGATTTTCTAGTTTAAGATGCGGCGTCTGACTTCTTGCAGCTGAAGTGTGCAGATGGCTGAAGTTGTAGTTAGAAGTATCCTGCATATAAGTTATTTGTTATTTTTTAAAGTTAAATTACCATTTGATATCTAAAAAAATATATATTAACGTGTGATGCATTACCTCTTTTATGGAGTTAGAACCTTTTTATATACGATATTCTTTGTGAATATATCTTTTGTCGCTTTCTTCTTAGGTTTAGGAGGGTTAGGGACAGAGAATCGAACTTTCTTGTCTTCGAAACAAAGTATTCTAAAAGATTATCATATAAAGGAAATTTTATTTGCTTATGCAATAAATAATCATACCTCTTTTCAGTCTTCTTGGCAGTAAATAAAACCAAATAAAATCAAATACCTTAGATTCATTCTAAAATTTAGAAGCTTTGATGGCCTTTCTATTTGATTCTATTCAATAAGTTTGATGAGCAGAAAAAATGGGGTAGTCGCCTTCTATTCTTTGTCGAAGCAAAGCATAACCTAAATTCTTTGACTAACCCCTCTTCGTTTGTGATCTGTGATAGCTGACCGGAGACATGGTTGTGGATAGGGATGCACATAGATGGCATCAGGATTTGATTGTTGTTGTTTTTTCCTGTGATTTGTCCAATCTCTTAAAAGGAAAAAAAATATCGTAGATCTTGGAGCGCTGGGGTGCACGCAATCAGGCACAACAACGTCCTGCCAGTGGACGTTAACATTTCCCTTATTGCTGATTTTTTCCGTGATCTGTGCTTTCTGGATTTGCCGAAAAGATAAGAATACCACGGCTACATTTGGAGCGGGGTGCACCTGCATGCATCCATGCATGGAAAGACCCGAAGGAACCTATGAGGAAGGAGCGCGGGATAGAGCCGGGCAGAGCAGCCATGCAGAGCCGGGCAGTTTTACTAGGCGTGCGTCATACAGTCAGCATTGCTCCGGTTTTAAGAACAAAACCAGATATACACCATATGTGAGCCCAGAAAGTCAAATCTCACATATAGTTACGAATAAAGGTAATATCGAAAGACAATGCTCAATATATAACGTATTTAGTACAAATGATATAACCTTAGACAACAAGCAGTGGAAAGACAACTCCGATCTTCGAGTGAAGACTCTAATTCCACAGGGACAACTGACTAGTTGATCACAAGCCTAACTCCTCCAGACTAGTAATCTGGTACCCGTCCGAGATTTTTCTAAAGATTTAAAAAGTAAAGCAAGCGTAACTACATGTCGTACTCAACAAATAGAACATGGAGTTCATGAGGCTCAAAAGGCTGACACTGGTTTAAGCGATTAGCATTTAATTGTCATAATTTTAGCATAGGAGTAGCAACAAGTTTATCACAAGCCCATATAAATACATGATTAGGTAAACATGAATAATGAATAGCATAAACAATAATCATTAATGAGCATCTTTATCATCTGTATCATCAGTGTTCATCATCTATTCCGTAAATGTTCCAAAGCCGCTCGTGACCATGAGCACAACTGATATACCAGTTTTACACTCTGCAGAGGTTGTACACTTTCACTGTGAGTCATGATTTACCCTTTCTCCCGAGGTGATCAGCCTCTTGACCCACTACCAAAGAAGGTCGGCAGAGTTCACTATGAAGCCTTTCAAAGGTTCGTCTAACAAGTTAGGACCGCTAGGTTTCTGTGGCCTGCTAATGTAGAGCTTCCCTTCCGACAGACACAATGACGCACAGCCTATACACTGACGGATAGAGGCCACACTATAGCCCTCACAGTTGTACTGTAAGTATCGGATGATCACTTACAGTTAAATTCTTAGGGAGAGGAATCTAGAGCACCATAGAAATAGCCCAATGCTCTAGCCCCTTGTTCCATGTTGCTAAAAAATTTTTTAGTGTTTATTGCATATACCATTAGTCAAGTTATAAGATCATGGCTTTAGTTGAGCACTAACATCATACTACCCAATGCAATAATCCATAGGAATCAAGGAATCCAGGATATCAAATAGTTAGGAAAATTACTACGGTTGCCAAGGTACACACATGCATATGATTAAACTGATATTAAGGTGAATAGGACAACAATGAAGATCCCATGCTATACTTGCCTTAAACTTAGATCCTTCTTCAAGTCCAAAACTTCAAAGATCTGCTTCTTGATTCACCACGTATAACTCACCGATTGGACATGATCATAAAGCACCACACAAGCATCCATGCAATCATACATGAAGCAAACAATAGATCTAAATTAGAACAGTACACCAATCACAGAAAAATAAGTAAAAGAGTTTGAAACACGATTCTACGTATCGCTATGAACACATAGTCGTGAGAGGCACGCTAATCGGAGCTACGGTTTGAAAGAAACGGCTACCGAAAGATCTACTCATAAGAGAAAATATAAAACTATAAGCTTCATGTATTTTAACTATATAAAAGATTATATAAATTGAATTAAATCAAATTTAGATTTGAATCATAAAACTAAAGTAAAGCAAATCATATTTTATTTATAAAATTCAATTGCATAATTATTATTCAAATTAGAGTTTAAACCATGAAATTCTAGAAATAGTGTTGGGTTCATAAACCCGGGTCCCTCATGGACCTGCTTCCCAGCGAAAGCTCAACCCAGCAGATGACGTTGCGAATGACGCGCAACTCCTAGGCCGGCCCAAGAAGCTAACGACAGGCTAGAAGGGTGATCTAGTCTCCGACCAGAAGGCCAGGCCAAAGAAGAATGACGCTCGCCTCCAACTCTAGCCCGCCTCTTCGAACCTCTGCTTATAGCTCTTCACCGGCTGGCGCAGTCGGAGCCGACTGGGACCAACCGACCGGGGACGCCCGCTCGGTGAGGACCCAGGAAACTTAAGTCAGCCGCAATACCAAGGACCGTACCATGTACACCTGCAGGATAGTACCGACAGGGCATGTCAGAAGGGTGCCCTGCAACCTTCTAGGCATGTCAGAACCCAAGCAGTGTTGTGGGCGCCAATGTTTGCCCTATAGTGTTGTGGGCGCCATCAATTCCCATACCAGGCGAACACGGTAAAACCCCCCACATGCCTCTAGGCATCAACAATGTTGTGGGCACCGTCATTTGCCATACATGGTGAACACAGGTAAAACCTCCCACATGTGTCTAACACAAACAGTGTTGTGGGCGCCTACAATCATCTTGTACACGACGGCGTGGGCAACAAGACTTAGTAGCATACGTACACTCTCTCTCACACTTGTAAAGCTGTCCCCTTCATCTATAAAAGGGGATGCGCTCTCTTCCAATGAGGACGGACGATTGGACGAACAACAACAATAGACGGATCACTCAGATTCACTCTCTGCTAGCTTTAGACACTCTAAAGCTACACAGAGCACACAATCGAACACTCAATGCACGTAGGAGCTCCCGTCACTCTTGACCCTTCAGACCAGAGTCCGACCGGACCTCTTGTACCCCCATCTTACTCCTCGTTTGTAACCCCATAGCAAACTTTGAGCACCTGGGCTATGGAATAAAGTCACCGACCGACTCAAACTGGACGTAGGGCACGTTGCCTGAACTAGTATAAACCCTGTGTCATTGAGTGCTAGGCCACATCTGACCACAACGTACGGCAAAACAATAAATATTTACTAGTTGGTCACTTTTCACACCAACAGTTAGTGCCGTCCGTAGGGAGGATGCCGTACGTTCACGCTTTTGGTCATCGAATGGCCCATTTTCCGCCATCTTTGCCATGGAGGGCTCAAGCGATACGACTCGCTTCAGCTCGTTGGAGTTTTCTGCACTCCCACCTGTTGGGATGTGGGTTCCACCCATCTTCGAGCTATCCCAGGCCTTCCTCTTCGGAAGCCTAGACTTCATCGCCGACCGGCTCGGCGTGCTTCACCTCCGCGAGGCGGCACCTGTCCTGGCGCCCATCGGAGGAGGAGCGATCTCCGTTGGCTCCGGACACCCGGCGACTTCAACAGCGAGGCGCCTACGCTTCGCTCCAAGCCCACGCTGGGCTCAAACCTCATTGCGAGTAACGTACATGCTGTTAGTTACTCGCTATTTACTATCTTCCACCGATTCTCCGGAGCGACCCCGCTATCCCTGCCGTGACTCGCCATGCGACCGGTTCCCCTACGGCCTCGCGTCCCCCATGAACGCGTACGGACGCTGGCTTCGAAGAATGCTGGCACCACCCCCTCTCACATCCGAATTCGTGGGGATGGCGAGCTATGATCCCGCCTCTTTCCATGACCTCATGGATGATGATGTTGAGAGCAACGGCTCCAGCATCGACGATGTCGTGGCACCCAGCCACCCTTTGTCCCAGGAGCTGTGCTATGGCGGATCCTCCGGGACAGCCGCCGGTGGTGGTGGAGTCTCTATAGACCCACACCCCTCCGGACCCTTGCGCGGGGCCCTCGCGTGTGCATAGGAGCACGCGGTGAAGAGCTACGACAAAGGTGGCAG